ATGCTTAATAATGATAATAATAGTAATGGTAATAATAATAATATGGATAATAAATATGATAAAATAATAATGATAATGGTTAAAAAGGAAAAAAATGATGATGGTGATAATGATAATAACAATAACAATAATAATATTAATGATAATGATAATGGTAGTAATAATAATAATACTAACAATAATGACAATAATGATAATAAAAAAAACAATAATGGTAAGGTTACATTATCATGATCATCATTATTATCATTATCTTTATAACTGTTAATAACTTTATCATTACTATTATAATTATTATTATCATTACTGTCATTATTAGTATTATCTCTTTCATTATTATTATCATTAGTAGTGGTAGTAATATCATCATCATTATTATCATTACCATTATTATTATATTAATAATGATAATAATGATAATAATAATAACAATAATAATAATTGTTACTATTATCATTATTATCATTATTATTATTATTATCATTATTACTATTATTATTATTACTATGATTACTACTACTACTACTACTACTACTATTATTACTACTACTACTATTACTACTATTATTATTATTATTATCATTATTATTATTATTATCATTATTATTATTATCATTATTATTATTATTATCATTATTATTATTATTATTATCATTGTTATTGTTTTTATTATTGTTATTATTAATACTATTATCATTATCATTATTATTATCATTACCATTATTATTGCTGTCATCACCATCATCCTTATCATCATCATCAGCCTTGTTATCATTATCATGATCAACCCCATTGTCACAATTATCATTACAATTATTGTCAGTATTATCATTATTATTATTACATCATTATTAATATTATCTTATCTTTTATTCATTATTTTCCTTTTTATTTTCAGCCTCTTGCAACAGATTGCATACAGTGGCCACTTTATTTCTTGCAGCGCGTTTTTTTTTCAAAATAGTAATAAAAAATATAATAAAAATAATTAAGATAATAATCCGGTAGATTTTCATACATCAAGTGAACAAATTCCAGTTTATTTTCAATTTCTTGAGTATAAAGAAAATCTTTAATTATAAACTTAGTACTAATAGTATCATTGTAATTATTTTCATCAAAATTACCAGCATTGCTCGTGTTGAATATCATTATTGTGGTCATAACTAACATGCGTATAAATAATATGCAATATGTAAATGCATAATTATTTCTGATTATTTTTGTCCCTATTAGTATCCTTTTTTGTAAAAGTATAACTATCTTATGTATGCTCAATATGCAATATGTATATGCATAATTAATTTTCGTTATTTTTTTCCTTATTATCATCCTTTTTCGTAAAAATATATTTCTGTTCTTAATTTTGTTCTTAATATCGATTTGTACTTACAACCTATATGATTTTGTGTTGTTATTGTAGATATTTTGACGTTGATTACATCATTATTGATATTTCTATAATTACTGTCATGTACATTTCCTTCCCTATTGGCATATCTATTAGAATGTTTTTTTTGCATTATCATTTGCATATACTGTATATAAATGTATATAAAAAACGGTTTATTATTTACAACATGCATATGTATGTGTAAGTAACCTATGTATAAGTATACTTGAGTATATACCTACATGATCGTGCGAATATACATACCCAACTCTCTACATATAAAAACCTAAACCCAAAACACGAAACGACAAATAAACAAACAAAACAAAACAAATAAAACAAAAATTTCTCTCTCACCTATTTCCTTTTTCTCTTCTTCCTCCTCCTCTTCCTCCTCCTCCTCCTCTCACTGCCTCCCTCTCCTTTCGTTCTTTTCCAGGAGTGCAGATAAACAGATCGAAAACTTCCATAAAAATACCTCACACCTCTCTCATCTAATTCCTTTTTCTCTCTTCCTCCTCCTCTTCCTCCTTCTCCTCTCACTGCCTCCCTCTCCTTTCGTTCTTTTCCAGGAGTGCAGAAAAACAGATAGAAAACTTCCATAAAAATACCTCACACCTCTCTCATCTAATTCCTTTTTCTCTTCTTCCTCCTCCTCTTCCTCTTCCTCCTCTCATTGCTTCCCTCTCCCTTCGTTCTTTTCCAGGAGTGCAGCGAGGAATTTCATCAACGTCTACAAAAATACACTGCCTGGAAAGTTAGAAACAAGAAGGCGACTTGACCTATTTACTCCCGTGACAGGTCAAAGCAGGTCACACGAGACGACGAAAACAACGGGCGTATTTGCTTTTGATGAAATGTTTTTGTTATTATTATTATTGTTATTATCATTTTCATTATTAATGTTATTGTTGTTATTATCATTGTTATTATCATTTTCATTACTAATGTTATTGTTATTATTATTGTTATTATCATTTTCATTATTAATGTTATTGTTATTATTATTATTGTTATTATCATTTTCATTATTAATGTTATTGTTGTTATTATTGTTATTTTCATTTTCATTATTAATGTTATTGTTATTATTATTATTGTTATTAT